GCAGCAGCTCCGAGCTCCTTCTTGCTATTTATAGTTTGCCAGGCCAGGCTCCAGCCTCCGAGCCAGCGGAGGACAGGCCTCTGCCCCTCCTCGCTCTGCCTCCCGAACCAGGGTGGACACAGGCTCAGTCCACGGCTGGCTGGTGGACAGAGCCACCCGGACACAGGGATGGTGTGACTCAAGACATTGGGGAGGCTGAGCAGCCAGCACTGGAATCTGGGGGTCCCCCGAGCCACCCTACTCTCCCTTTGGGGGAGTCTCTGAGAACTCTGGGCAGGGAGCAAAACCCCCTTTGGTCTCCCCAGCCCCTCAGTATCCCGACATGGTCAACATCCATGCTAACTCCTCACAGTGAACCCCACGAGACCTCCTGCACACACGGAGGCCCACGGAGGGGCCACTGGCTCTTCTTTCATCAAAACTGAGGGCCAGAGAGGGTAAGTGACTTGCTCAAAGTGGCACAGCGAAGAAGAGGCAGGGCCTCAACTAGAAACGCCTCCTTCCTGTCACCGCTAGAGGCCCCCTCCCAGGGGTCTTATATTACAGACCCTCCTACAGCTATTCATCCCAAAGCTCTTCTTCTGGCCCGGCAGCCCTGTGGGACCTCCTCACCCCCAGTTCCGCCCACGGGGCGAGAAGGGGCACCCCTCATACTCCATTCCCTTCTGGGTTCCTTGGATGAACGCAGCCATGTGGGCAGAGGCTTCCTGTGACTTTGGGAGAGGCCATCACAGGCCTGTTTGGCCCGCAAAGATTGCCGATGCTTTTTGTTTTTAAGTTTGGCATCGATATTTTAAAATAAGGAGATCCTTTGTCAACATCCAACTTGCCTTTCAAACTGACTAGGTTCGCTGGGTGCCAGTGGCTGGTGCCTGTCATCTTAGCTACTCAGGAGGCTGAGATCTGAGGATCGTGGTTCAAAGCCCACCCAGGCAGGAAAGTCCGTGAGTCTTATCTCCAATAAACCACTGGAAAACCAGAAGTGGTGCTGTGGCTCAAGTGGCAGGCTCAGAGTTCTTACTATACATTAATACAAACAACAACAACAAAAAGCACAAAAATAGGGTCAAGCGCTGGTGGCTCACACCTGTCATCCTAGCTACTCAGGAGCCTGAGATCTGAGGATCTCAGTTCAAAGCCAGCCCAGGCAAGAAAGTCCATGAGATTCATCTCTAATCAACCACCAAAAAGGCAGAAGTGGTGCTCAGGAAAATTGGTCAGGGACAGCATGCAGGCCCTGAGTTCAAACCCCACGACTAACAAAAAACAAAAGAAAAGGCTTTAGTCAGATGTGGTGGTACACACCTGCATTCCCAGCTCTTGGGAAGCGGGAGCAGGAGGATTGTGGGTTATATAGTGAAACCCCATTCCAAAACATCCAATAGGCTGGGAAGGGGGCTCAGTGGTAGAGAGAGCGCTTGCCTTGCATGCATGAGGCCCTGGGTTTGCTTCCTCAGCACCACATAAACAGAAAAAGCTAGAAGTGGCTCTGTGGCTCAAGTAGAGCACTAGCCTTGAGCTGAAGAGCTGAGGGACAGCGCCTAGGATCAGAGTTCAAGCCCCACTACCAACGCCCACCCCCCCACACAAAAAAAGCACCAAATAGAGTTGGGTGCCAGTGGCTCAGTCCTGTAATCCTAGCTACTCAAGAGGCTGAGACTTAATTGCAGTTCAAAGCCAGGTCAGACAGAAAAGTCTATGAGAATCTTATCTCCAATTAACCACCAAAAAGACCAGAATGGCTGAGAAGTATGAATAGGAAAGCCCCGGTGAGGGCCCCCAGGAAGGCAGGGCAGAAGGAGGGGAGGGCCACCCATCCCTCTCCCCCCGCCCCCCGCTTCGCTCAGTCTGCAGGGAGCTGGGAGCAGGAGCTGCCTTGTGCCATCCCTACCCACCCACGCTAATAACTTGTGCACAAACATGGCACAACGTGAGCCAGACACGCCGTCATTATCTCCCCTCACACGGCCCACTGGCCCCGCCCCCCACAGTAATTCCCACCAGGTGCACACTGAGGGGGACCCACTGCACCCCGGGGGCTCCCTCAGTCACAGAAGCCTAGACAGGGTTCAGGGCTCCTGGGTGGGGGCGGGGGTGGTGGGGGCAGTTACCTCAACTGAGAGTCACAGTCAATAAAGGACCTCCGCAAAGGAGCCACCTCATTTTCCGGGTTTTGAAACTGCACAGATGCAGATGCCTTCCATGGCCGATTGCAGCATGACCCCAGTTTTTTGTTTGTTGCTGGTCCTAGGGCTTGAACTCAGCTTGCACTCTGTCTCTGAGCCTTTTTTTTTTTTGCTGGTCGTGGGGCCTCAACTCTGGGTCTGGGCACTGTCCCTCAGCTCTTCAGCTCAAGACTAGTGCTCTACCACTTGAGCCACAGCGCCACTTCCAGCTTTTTCTGCTTGCCGTGCTAAGGAATTGAACCCAGGTCCTCATGCAATGCAAGGCAGGCACTCTACCACTGAGCCACCTTCCCAGCCCCTCTGGCTTTTTTCTAAGTAGTTTATATTAGAATTAAGTGTCTCAGGGACTTTCCTGCCCAGCTGGTCTTGAACTTTGATCCTCATATCTCAGCCTCCCGAGTAGTTAGGGTAAAAAACATGAGCCACCAGCACCCAGCTTGTGATTTCAGTGTTACCCAAGTTAGTCACCAGGTACATACCATTAGAGGGGGTGCTAAGACCTCGAGGAGACCCTGGCCTAAGGATCTCCCAGCTTGCAACCCCAGCTACTTAGGAGGAGGAGGGCAGGAGGATTATAATTGGAGGCTAGGCTGGGCAAAAAGTTTGAAAGACACCCCCCCATCTCAAACAGTAAAAGCTGGGTTCACTGATCCACAGCTGTCATCCCAGATATGCAGGCCTAGGTAAGAAGATTGTGGTCCAGGCTGACATAGACAAACGTTTGGCCCTAAATGAAAAATAAGCCCAAAGGGCTGGTAGCATGGATCAGCTGGCACAGCATCTGGCTAGGAAGTTCAAGGAGGCTCTGAATTGAAAGCCCGGATGCGGACCTGTCAGGGAGCAAGCTTTGCTCTTCCTGTCTCCATTTCACTTGTCACCCCCAACACAGCAACATGTGCATCCCTTTATCAAAGTGGAGGAGCTGAGAGACCCATCACCATCTCCCCGAGGCCCCCAGAGGCACAGAGCCCAGGGCTGACCACAGCCCACAGGAGGGGTCAGCCCAGGGACAGGACCTTGCTGGTCAGGGGCAGAGGGTGGCAGGTGAGCAGGCAGGTCGCATGGTCATGGCCTGAGCAGCCTTGCTGGGCTTTAGGGCAGAGAGACCTGAAGCAAAGTGGCGGCAGGTGGGCTGTGGGCTGCGGAACCTTTATGCAGCTGTGCCGGGGCCCTGAGGAGGCGGCGGGCCCAAGGGTGCACAGGTGGCCAGTGTGACGGGACTTGGGGTACCTCTGCACCAAGTGGGGGGGGGCAGCAAGCTCTTGCAGCCAGGTCTACAAGCTTTCTGGTGTCCCTGGGACCGTGCCAAAGGGCTGGCAGATGGCCAGTTACATTGTGCTTTTGGCATTTCAGCAGTAGAGGGAGATGCCTTCCCACACCAAGCAGCCCAGTCCTCCCCTGGATGCCTCCCCTGTGCGGGCAGCAGCTCTCCAGGGCGGATGACCGTGAACCAGGATGGGAGGAGGCTCCCGGGAGACCCTCCCATAGGGACAGGTGGGGGCCTCCTGGGGGAGGGGCAGTAACACACCCCCAGTGCCCAGAGGTGGGGTTGAAATCTCCTTTATTTACAAGTGTCCAGGCACTCGCCCTGGCTTCCGGAAGTTCTTCCGGGGGGGACCAAAGGGAGAGCTGAGGTCATTTCCAAGTTCATGTGTCCCGAAGCTTGGCGGCCCACCTGGCCTTGGACAGAGTGCAGAGGCCAGGCAGATGGGGTCAGCCCCTGGTGGACAGGGCAGTGGGTGGCCCAGTGCCAGGCACAGGAAAGAAGTCCTGTGCGGAGGGGGGCAGCGTGGACACCTGAGAGACAAGGTGGCTTCAGTGGCCAGGACTGTAGTCCAGGCCCGGGCTCCAGGTGACAGCGGGGCAGTAAAGGCCGTGAGAACCTGCCGAGGCTATGGTGGATCGGAGCTGGGCGCAGCAAATTCCCAGGGCGACACAGCTTCGCAGCCTCTGGGTTCCAGAGGCTGGCTGGGGTTGCTCAGCGACAGGTCGGGTGGCAGGGTTGCTGTGGCACCAGGCTGGTCCTCCAGGCCCACTGGGGCCTCCGCCTCCCGCTGGGCTGCACCCCGGGGTGAGGCAGTCTCTGGGTGACGAGGGGCCGCCCCCTGCCCTGCTCCAAGTCCTGCATGAGGCGGCCCTGGGAGGCAGTGCTGAGCAACTACAAGGGCGTTGACCCCAGGCCAGGCCCCGGGCCCGCGGCCCCAGAAGAAGTGGGGGCGGGGAGAAGAGGGACTCTACGGAGGGCTCAGGGAACACGAATGCCCCGAGCCGGGAGTGGGGTTCACGTGTGTCTCTGGAGGGAGACCCTCCGGAGGCGGGAGGCTCAGAGCCCTCTAATTACGGAATGGATGCCCCATAGTGGGGCTGCGTTGCAGTGGCACAAACCTCCCGTGACCCCCCAGGTCCACAGTGCTGGAGGCGAGCAGGGTCTCAGCAACGCAGGGCCGGAGGACCCAGGCCTGGGGGGGCGGTGGCGGGGCCCAGCGGCCTCCTGTGGTTCTGACGGTGGCCGCTGGGACTCGGGGCGCACGCTGGGCCTGCTGCTCCTGTCCTTGTCCGTGGCTGGGGAGGAGGTGGGGGGGTCCTGGGTTGATGGTACCTGGCCGCCCGCTCCCCCCTTGGTGAGCGGCTGCCACCGCCATATGGCTTTGGTAAATTTCCTTGAAAAAGAGTCTTTTGGAAGCGGCGTCAGCGCTCCAAGGCGAGCTCGGGGTGCAGGGCCAGGCCAAGGCCCGGGGTCCTGGGAGCCCCTGGTCCAGCGGGGCCCGAGGATGAGGAGGGGTGGGGCAGGGGTGCAGGGGAGGGGCTGGCACCACGTGGCCGCAGGCGCCGCCGCGCAACGGCGTCACCACTTGAGGAAGACCATGCCCGCCAGCACGGCGTAGCCCAGCACCAGGAAGAGCACCTTGAGCAGCCTGTCGCTCTTGTCCTCCAGCTCCTTGGCCAGGATCTCCAGGAAGGTGACGAAGAGGAAGGTGCCGCCCGCCAGGCCCTGCAGCAGCGCGGACGCCACGCTGCCCGGCACGCCGCGCGC